GAGGCTGTTGGGTAGACACTGATCTAATCCCAACTAGTGTCCTTATAAAAAGGAAAGTTGTGGACACACAAAAGAACTCCAAGGACTTACACAGATAGGAAAAGACCATGGGAGGTTGCATGAAGAAAACTGTTTTCAAGCCCAGGAAGATGATCTCCAAAAGCCTTAACCTTGACTTCCTAGCCACAAGGGCTATTGGAAAATGTAGTGATTACTTAAGCCACCTAGTCTCTGGTACATCCTGAAGGCAGTCCTTGCAAAGCAATAAACCATCTGCTCCATATGATATAAGCGCAGAGCTAGCTGTTTGCTGTTTGGTCTCATTCACTTGGCGAGAGGTTTGCGAGGACAGACAATGAATTTGTCTTACACAGTTCTGCAATCCCAGACACTGAGTACAAGCACAGTAATTGCTCCCCGTGTGATGAGTGGCTGACTCTTCACAATCCTGCTCCAAGTCATCCCTGTTTTTGCATAGTTCTTGAATGTTCTTTCTTATAGTTTCCCCATCCTTCCTATGGGACTCAAACTCATACACTGCACAGCATCCTTCATGAGTTAACTAAAACTATTCCATCCCCCAAAGCCTTTCTAACATTGCCTCTGCTAACATCCACTCAATCCCTGAGGCCCTGAGTGGGGAAGTCCCAGGTCACCTGCCCAAGGTTTACCTAGGATATTGTCTGCTCTGCTCCATCTACCGGGACACACTGGCAGCACTGAGATGTTTTCCAAGGCAGAGATTCTGCTTTGGAAACTTGCCATTTCCTCTTGCTAGAAGTTCCCTTCCCAAATTCTTAGAAATCGAATTCCTTTCTATGGTTAGAATCCCAGCTCTGACCACATCTTTGAAGACGCCTCGCATGAACACACTACTGAAGGAGTCCCACTCCCCATATTTATCACAGTCACAGCACATCCCGTTATCCCAAATTATCCACTGCTTATCCACTACTAGATATTTTCATTTCTTTCTTCCTTCTCGCCCCCTTGCCAATTAAGCGCCATGAGCACAAAAGCCAACCCCTTCTTACTTAACTATCTGCTATGTCCGGGAAAGCTCTTGAACACATAGTTCATAATCAATAATTGACTTGTTGAGGCGAAGGATGGATAAGGTCCTGTGCTAGCAATGACTACACTGCACATGAGTGGGCTATGGGTGTACCTCAGAGGTCTACACACAGTGTCGGTGTTTGCACATATCCTTGATGTGATTTTTTCTCCAGTTCCAGTTACCCTTTCACAGACCTCACATTGTGTGTTCAGGCAAGGATGTGCTTAAGCCTCCTAAGCACTAGGGTTGAACATAGCCACAATACACCATGCAGAAATAAAGCCAAGGTCATGTCTTCTAGAGTTATATCCCATGGCCCATTTGCTGGGTAACTGACTCTTAGCAATTCTATAACCATGCAATCCACACTTCTCAGCAGGAGGAGGAGGCTATCAGGAGAATCTTAAATTCAGAAGTCTCAGTGAACATAGGGAAGATGTCCAATGAGCCTTAGGAATTGTGTGGGTAAAAAAACCATCCAAATGCCCCCCTGGGATGCTCTCCTACAGAGATACAATAAAGAAAAGGGAGTATTTGATGGTGGTGGGCAGGACTTGGAGATAAGACAGTTTGAGGCTAGGGCATCAAAACAGGGTATTACCATGAAAGCGAAGTTTCCTTCTGAAACACAGACCACTGGGACCCAAGGACAGAATACCATGTGGTATTCTTCTGCTAGGAAAAAAAAAAAAAAAACAGTGTCACCTCCCAGAAAGACCTTGTCCAAGCATAAGAATGATCCATTTAGGCAGCAAAGATGAGCTCTATGGGGAAGTATTTGAGGAAGATCAAAGGTTTACTGGGAAGACTGCTCAAAACTGAAGAATGTACAAGCTTGAATGTATAGTTAAATGGAAGCGAGGAAAGCCGATATTTCCTCACACTACTGTCCAGTATTGAACACAGATCATCCCGCAATGGGCATCTGACATTGATAAAACTCAAAAGAGTCAGAGAGGGATGACAGTCAGAACAGGCAAGGAAAACCTGTCTGCATGCCTACCATAGAAACCCTGCAATGCTGGGGACTTTGCATCCACTTCACAAGAAAGTCTACTTCAACACAGACATTTCCCAGGCATGAGCAAATGGAGAGAACCATCTAAGACACTCTGAAAGACTTGAGTCATAACCCAGAGAATAGTGAGAGTAATAGAGAATCTAACCTCAGTGTATCTGAGTTGATTACTAAGGGAGTGGGTCTCTCTTATATACATGTCAGACCCATCCCCCACCCCAAGCATTGCTTGGAACCTGGAACTTGGCATGCATTTTCCCCAGAGAAGGTGCTTTAAGCTAATGAGTCAGATCATGGTGGTCTTAGCCCAGGAAGCTAGAATGAAACAATGATTTAAGGTCTGACAATTGAATGGTAGCAGAAGTGAAAAGATCCATTTCAATTGAAGCAACATGATGGGGGCTGGTGTGTGAGGCTCATGCCCAGGTATGGGGGCATACATTAAAGGAACATAGAGAAGTACATAGGATGCCTCATGAGGAGGCTTCCTTACCCATAGCATAACTGTAGTTCGAATATGATTAATCTTCCAAACTCATATCAAAGTTGAATTCCTGAAGTCAGTGGCACAAAGAGGCCAGAATCTGACTGTGACATTTAGAGCTGGCTGTTTCAGAATGTCGTAAGGCTTGGAGAAGGTCTTCATAGTGGGACACTAAGAATTCGATCCTAGTATTAGAAAACAGGGACAGAGGCATGGCATCCACATGGGCACTCCCTCCTTATTCCCATATGATGCCCTGTTCTGCTCCCAGACTCCGGAAACCCATCACCGACCTTAGCCTATGAAAATGTTATGCCCTTCAAACCTCCAAAAACTGTGAGCCAATCAAACCTCTTTTCTTTAGGAGGTTAGTCTTCTTGCTCTAAGAGGACTGTTTATAACAATAAGTACCTGCTTCAAAACTTTTGAGGTCTCAAATAAATAACTTAATGATGAGCCATGGAAAAGTAAGAACAAACAAAACATCTGAGTAGTAGATGAAAAAAGACAATCAAAACCAAGACTGAAATTAATGCGGTAAAAACATACTACAAAATAATCAATAGCACAATGAGATGGGGATTTTTGGAAAGATTGGCAAGCCCTTAGTCCAATTTACCAAAAGAAAAGACACAATTTAGTAAAATTAGAAAGGAACTGGGAGACATTAGAACAGATACCAGTGAGATTCAGAAAATTATAAGAGCATATTTTTTAAATGCCCCTACTCTACTAAACTGAAAAAAAAATCTAAAGGAAATGGAAACTTTTCTAGATGTTGAGAATATATCAAAATTAACTCAATATGAAATTTTAAAAATCTTGAACAGTTTTATAATGAACAACAAGACCTAAACAGTAAAGTCTTCCAACTGAAAATCAAGCCAGGACTAGATGAATTCATTATAGAATTCTACAAAGCCTTCAAAGAGCAAACTCAACTGTAGATGGGCACTCTATATCAATCTTCAGCCCGAAAGTCTTGGGAAGCAGAACAGGAGACTGAATGAATGGACAAGTAAAAAGACAAGAAGGGGGTCTGTGAATTGCTAGTCTCTGAGCATGACATGGCTGCTGCACATGTGAATTCATAACATCTTGTGGTTCCCTACGTATGAAATGCACAAAATCTAGCCAGTTCAAAATTCTAGCAAGAACGGAGAAAGAGCTCCCTAGAGAGCCTGCCCCTAGCTGAGGAGCTATTGGCAATTGACAGCTGTAGTGTGGGGGAGGAGGGGCAATGTCTTTTTTTCTTTAGGTGTATGACCACTGGCAGCTCCCTATGCCCCAAGGATGAACCCAACAAATGTGAATATATGGAAAGTACTAATTAGACTCTGTGGGTTTTCAATAATTAATTAAGAAGCAAACAAGGAAAGAATGAGGGAAGGAGGAAGGAAGGAAGATGAAGCTAGGAGGGAGATGTAGTGTGGGATTCCGAGGGTAACTGGAAGGGTAATAAGATATAGATATAATAAAGATATATTATATTACATGCATGAGATTTTCAAATAATATATTATATTTTTAAAAATGTCAGCTTGCCATGGATATTTTATCCTACTAAATTATATTTACTCACTGTCTCATGACCACATGGGAGAATGGAGAAACCCTCAGAGGTTATGTAGAATCAAATGGCAGCCAAGAAACGAATAGGAATCTACAACAAAAGCATTCCCAAATCGAGGACCTGGCATCCCAGCCAACTCTGGCAGTGATTTCCATGATCCCTAGGTATCCTTAGACTTTAGACTTCCAACCATATACTTGTAGGTGTAATGTCATCACAGCTGTCTGCACCCAGGCTGGACCGGAGCTGTGGCTCTTTGCTGAAACACCTTCAAGTTTTATTGCGTGGAGGGGAGCTTCAAGGAGGCGTGGCGAGCATCTGAAGACTCTTGATGTCCTACCTTGAGTACTAAGCACCATGAGAAATCTCGCCCTATACCTGCATAGAGCTGTTGAGTGTATTTAAAATTATTTTTAAAGAATTAATAGCTTTGGGGTTCTTCTCCCTGTGGGTGGAGAGTGTGCTAATTTGCTCCATGTTTAATGTTCTTTTTTTCTGTTCTGTTTTGCTTTTTAAAAAAAGACAATTGCAAAAGATTCTATCCAAAGGCCTCTAATCCTTCCACTTCAGTGGTCTGAATCCCACTAATAAACAATCAGGACTTTAGACTCCCTTAATAATGGAGAGAGATTCAGACGAATTGTTTTGCCAGTCTCCACAAATTCCTAGAGATGCTGCCTGTTGAACAGGCAGGCAAAATTATGGATTTATTCAGAACTGATTGCCTTGCGTTGTGTGAGCAGTTTTGAAGGATTAAGAGCTAGTGAGTGAGAGATAGCTATGAGCTGAATGAATAGGAGTTTGCCGCCTTGTGACTACTCAGGCCCACATGGAGAAAGAATGTATCCAGAGAAATGAATAGACTTACTGCACGGATGAGCAAGGACCCGAACTTCGTCCACAGCGATGTAACCAGGATGACCTTTCAAAGAGACGGATTCAAAGATCACCTGCAATACACAGGGCTGATGTCAGTTCACAGAATCAGTTGTCTGCATTCACCTGAAGAAGCTACCCAGACCCCAGTCACTTCCTGTGCCAGCTTCCCATCAGAACCAACCAACAATATCATATGTTGGGAGCATACACTGTGCTGACAGATGACTTGGGTTTCCAAACTAGGCAAAAAGTTCACACTCTGGTGACCAGCAAGAAAAGTTAGCCATTTGGAATGGTTTAAGGGATTTTTAGCAATAACATTCAGCCATAGCAACAAACAATCAGAACAAAGCCCTGGTTCCCATCAGTACCTCCTTCCTTGTGGTTTCAAATGAATTACAAATGGTACTACTTATTAATAGCCCCACCTGATTACTGATCTTGAAGTAATTCTGTAGTCAGTTTGGACTTCCTCTGTGTGTGTGTGTGTGTGTGTGTGTGTGCACGCGCGTGCATGCGTGCTCACCCATCTTTGTGAATGTGTAAATGTATATATTGGTATGTGTGTTTGGTGACCAGAGGTCAACCTCTGTTGTCATTCCTCAGGTGCTACCCATTTTGGGTTTTTGGAGATAGGGGATTCTCCAATTACACTGGACTGTCAAGTAGATAGGTGTGCCTATCTACACCTTCCCAACACTGGAACTGTAAGAACATGCCACTAAACCCCTGCCTTCTTCTTACAGGGGTGCTAAGCACTTTGCAGGCTGAGCCATTTCCTGTTTCCAAGACTTCTTCATCACATCCTTTAGAAACTAGCAGCAATGTACCTGGTTGTATCCAGGAATGGAAAGAAGCAAGAATTTTCTTCTTCTCTACTCTCTGATTCCTACTGAAACCTTTTACTTCCACATGGATTTTATAAATAAGCTCCCCTTGCCTTCTCTGTCCCCTCACTGAGGACAGATGAGAATGTGTGCAAGCACCATGGTTAGTAGTCAGTACTCTTTCACACTACTAGTTCACACTCCCACAAACTGCATCAGCTACATTCCCAAACACTCTGTCAACAATTATCTGTCAGACTCTAACCCTACATTCCTCTTGCAACCCTCCTCTCTCATGGGCTCCTCAGACTCACACAGTTCCTGGAGTCTGCACTTTCTAGATCTTCCAACACTCTCCAAAAGCCAAGGCTCCACAGCATCCAAGTGACTCTCTCTGTAAGACTAATTCCTTTACACCTCTTCTTGAACCTTGTCAGGCTCACTGTGGGCCTTCCCTCTCCAACCCCAAACCCTGCCCAGTGTTCTTCTTGCATTTCCCCTGCACCCAATTCCAGAGCTTCAAGAACATGAGAGAGAGAGGCTGACTTCTCATTCCTTACCCCCACAGCTTACCTTCCTTCCCACCAACCACGATTTCTGCACGTAATCTCAGTACCTGACTGATCACTGCTACAGTTTCTAAAATCTAGGCTCTTCTTGGCTTCCTTTTGCTACTCTGTGTTTCTAGGCCCTACCCTTTTCCCTCTGGCCTTAACATATATAAATGGCTTTAGTTTTTCCTATTCATGAAAAACTACCTCTTTGTAGCAAGTCCTTTTCTGTGGCCGGTTGCATTTCAATCACAATTCTTAGTAGTTTAATATGCCATTCCTAACACCTCGTTGCTTCCACCATAAACTATTAAGCATAAAAATCCCAATCTTTATTAAATATTCCTCCCAAGATTGTTCTCATGACAGACACTGATATTCTAATTACTAAATCTGATGAAGCTACCCCACCTCTAACAGTTTCTCTAACTTTGAGAAGGAAGATGGTAGGGCTGGAAACATGGCCCAGCTATTAAGAGCATGGGCTTCTCTTTCAGAGTTCCTGAATTCAATTCCCAGCACCCCTATTGTAGTCCATAAACTTTTATAACTGTGGTCACATAAGACTGATGTCCTCTGCCAGTGTGTAGTCATACATGTACACATAAAATTCACAAATCAAAAAATTATATTTTTATAAAAGAAGAAAGAGGATACCACCTTTGAGCTGCAGGTGCAGTAACTTCCTGTTTTGAGTCCTAGTGTCTGCACCTAGAATTTCCAGTGTCTACCACATTAGGTAACTTTTTGGTGGAAAGAATTAATATCCTATTCGAAATGTTAGACACTTGAAGTTCTTGTCATATAGGTCTTTCGCTTTCTTGGTTAGATATTTTATATTACTTGTGGCTATTGTAAAGGGTGTTGTTTCCCTAATTTCTTTCTTGGTCCATTTACCATTTGTATAAAGGAGAGCTACACATTACTTTTTTAAAGTTAATTTTGTTTCCAGCCACTTTGCTGAAGGTGTTTATCAGCTATAGGAGTTCTCTGGCAGAATTTTAGGGGTTGTTTATGAATACTGTCATATCATCTGCAAACTGCATCCTCAGTAAATGTCTTCAATAACTCTTATTACCACCCTACTATAATTGTCACTCTTCACAGATTTCTGGGTCTCAGCAAATATGACACATTTTGTTTTCTCATCATCTGACTGCACACACTCACCCTTGCACCTCTGCTAACTCACTGGTAATGCCAAGCCCAGCTCTCTGTCCTAAGTCATTAGTCAGAACACCAATCATCATCATCATCATCAAAACACCTCATGGTTCAGAATTTCTACCCACATATCATAAAGTTGACTTATGTGCAATCTGTATGTAACAGCTATGAGCATATTTCAAGTCTTCTACCTTACCTCCCAATGCAACATCCCTCTTGTAATACTGTGCTATTATATGGGTGTCTTGGCACATCTATGGACTTCTACTTCAACCTCATCCCTTATTTTGATTCTACCATACTGAAATTTCTTAGATACCTTAGATACAGTCCTGCTTTTTCATATCCATTATTAGACAGATCATAGGGAGCAACTATTTGTGAGTCAAAGCCAGTCAGGTATCAGTGCCAGTGTTTTGATTCAGCCTGTGATTGTTTTCCACATCTACCACCTTGTCGATGTTCAAAATGAACTCCTGTCCTGTCTCTACTACTCAACTCAAGTCTGTGGTTGGACAATACAGCTGGTGATGCTATTGACAGGAAATCACTACAAGGAATCATGTTGTTCAGGCCAGTGGACCCAACACTCAGTGTTGTCTGTTGGCTCTGGAGCTCTAAAAATTATACCCAAGAGAGCAAATGAAGAATATGGCAATAGCTGTGAATGGGGCAGTTTTCTTGATGGTAAAGTTTATTTGTGAAATCTGAGAATTTTGAGAAATAATAAAGGGCGGGGTGACAGTCATATAACAAGACAGCTGCTTCTGCTCTCAAAAAGTACATTCCTAAAATGATATAGTCCTGTCCTTCAGAGAGAACTAACACATGGAGTTGGGCATAAGCTAAAACAAGCAAAAGACCATGCAGAAATTAAAAAAAAAAAATGGCACATCCCTCATCCTGCAGTCCTGCAGAAGGGAAACCTTATAGAAGTTTTTCCATAAAGAGCCAGATCTCTCTCTCTCTCTCTCTCTCTCTCTCTCTCTCTCTCTCTCTCTCACCATCTCCCCCCCGTCTCTGTCTCTGTGTGTGTGTGTGTGTGTGTATATGTGAGTGTGTGTGTGTTTAAATAATTTAATGGAAAAAATCAAAGTAAAGTCTATAGGAAAAAATTAAAAGAAATACAGTATGTACAGCCAATATATTTCAAAAGAAATAGCAAAAAATGTATTCACTGTGTGGAACAAAAAAATGACAAATACAAAATGTTTGTTTTGACAATAAATATAAATGGGTTAAAATAGAGAAAAACACTCAGACTGTCTAAATAATCAAAGACTAATTGTATACTGTAAGATAAACACCTTAGGCAGAATGACTTAGTAACCTTACAAATAGCAAGTGGAACAAAGACACAATAAGAAAAATGTAAATGAACAGAAAACAGTTGTTTTAAAAAATAATGTGAATTTTCAAAGTAGAATTTTAACCAAAATGGAAAGTATAAACCATCAAGGAGACTGACTTGGTCTCTAAAATTCAGACTATAAACTTGAAAGGAAAATGATAATGGGGAAAAGAAGATATTATCTAAAGATTCTATCCTATGTCTTGGTTTCTGATCAATCAAATGGAAAAAGCAATACAACAAATATATATTTTTCTAAATGTGTTAATTTTCTGTTCAAATGCTCATGGATCTATAAAAAGATCATAAACTAGATTACAGTGTAACATCAATATGTCTCCTAATAAACAAAATTGTGTAGATTTAGTCTTACGCATTTTTCTAAATCAAACTTCCTAAGTTTTTAAAAGCTATACAACGTGTCTTAATAACTATGTCATAATATGTTTCTTGTATTAACAAGAGTATGAAAAATATTGAAAGCCAAATGACATATGTGATATATATCCCAGAAGCATATCCTTTTTATTTTTGGGTGGGGATGGTTTCCAAATAATTACTGATAGCCAAGAAAAGAAACAAATAGTCTCCAAAAACTGTGATTTCAATAGGAAAAGTCATAAAAGATAAAATAGGAATGATATTAATCTCTAAGTGTGAAATTCTTAAATGGCATGGGAGATGTTCAGAGATGACTCAGAAGGCTCCTGTACTCCTGTTGCAATGATGCACCCCACCACTCTGCCTTGGCATGGAAGATGCTGATAATGGCTAGGTATCAGTACAGAATGTCAGCATCCTCTAAGAAAGAAAGGCCTATGCAGGAGCTGTCAGCACAGAGATAATGGCTATCTTTGGTCATGAAAATGTGATAAGAGATAGAAGAAGACATGAGAATATTCTAGAGCTGGATGTCTCCAGAGGGCAGGGAGGTAAGTGGTGGAGTGGGGTGGAATACTGAAGTGGGCCACATGTCCTGAAGAGCAAAGGACAGGGACTCTTCAAGGGGATTCGAAGACCAGAGTGGAAGAGCTGATCCAGGTATCTCAAGCACCTCTGAAGGACACTGCTTAGCCTCAAGGCTGGTGCATAGAACCTACTGTCAACAAACTCCAGCTAATTTGGGTCTAAAACCCTGATGGAGTCTTCACGGTACAATCGTCAGAGGGGTGGAA